TGTTAGCCAGAGTGGTCTCAATCTCCTGACCTCGTGATTCGCCCGTCTCGGCCTCCCAAAGTGCTGGGATTACAGGCGTGAGCCACTGCGCCCGGCCAACAACTATATAGTTTTACGTTGTGTTAGGGATTTTAAGTAATCTAGAGATGATTTAAAGTATACTGGAGGATGTGCATAGGTTATCTGCAAATACTATGCCATTTTACATAAGCAACTTAACATTTGTGGATTTTAGTGTCCCAGGGGAATCCTGGAGCCAATTTCCCACATACACCAGGGGACAACAGGATGTCTGATTTTTCATTATTACGAATAACTAGTAAACATTCTATGTACAGGTTTGATTCTTTTTAGGATAAATCCTAAAGACAGCATTACTAGTTCACATGCAAAACCTTAAAATTTTTAATGCATGTTACCAGATTTTCCACCTTTCAGAAAGATTGTGCTAATGTATCCTAGTAGATATATCCAGATTTAAATATGTAAATGTCATAATTGATTCTGCATTTTTTAAACTTATTTTGAATAATCTCAGGTTACAGAAGAGTTGCGTGAATAGTATATAGAACTCCCAGATATCAGTTGTTAATGTTTGCCACTTTTGCATTATCATTTTTCCCCTGAATCATTTGACAGTTAGTTATAGACAATATGCTCCTTTATCCCTAAATACTTGTGTGTATTTCCTAAGAACAAGGACATTCTCATTCATAGCCTCAGTACAATGATCAAATTCAGGAAGTGTAAGATTGCTGCAGTATTATTCTCTAATTATAGTACATGTTCAGATTGTCTCAATGATGTCCCTTATAGTAATTTTCCCCTGATTCAGAGTCCGGTCCAGGATCACACTTTAGTTTCTTGTCACTCTAAATTCCTTTAATCTGGAGTAGTACTTCAGCCTTTGTGTACCTTTTATGACACTGACATGTTTGACATTTGCACACGAATAGCTTCATGGAACTGTTGGGTTTGCCCGATGTTTACATTCAGGTTAGACGATTTTGGCAGAAATACTATTGTGACTTCGTTCTTTCTCAATATGTTACATCAGAAAGCTTCATTTACTTTACAGTTATATGAAGTTTTTTGGGGTTGTTTGTTTTGAGACAGAGTCTCACTCTGTCGCCAAAGCTGGAATGCAGTGGGGCGATCTTAGCTCACTGCAGCCTCTGCCTCCCAGCCTCGAGCGACCCTCCTGCCTCAGCCTCCTGAATAGTTGGGATTACAGGCGCCTGCTGCCACACCTGGCTAATTTTTTTTTTTTTTTTCTTTTTGAGACGAAGTCTCACTCTGTCGCCCAGTCTGGAGTGCAATGGCACAATATCAGCTCACTGCAACCTCTGCCTCCCAGGCTCAAGTGATTCTTCTCCATCAGCCTCCCGAGTAGCTGGGATTACAGGCATGCACCACCATGCCCAGCTAATTTTTGTATTTTTAGTATAGATGGGGTTTTGAAGTTTTCAAATAACTTTTTGAAGTTATTCGCCCACCTCGGCCTCCCGAAGTGCTGGGATTACAGGTGTGAGCTACTGCACCCGGCCTAATTTTTGTATCTTTAGTAGAGATGTGGTTTCGCCATGTTGGCCAGGCTGGTCTGGAACTCCTGACCCCAAGGGATCTGCCCACCTTAGCCTCCCAAAGTACTGGGATTACAGGCATGAACCACCACACCTGGCCTGTGAAGTATTGTGTATAAAGTACTGGCAAGGGAATTAGAAAATTCAAATTTTATTAATTACCTTAAAAGCATTAATTTAACAAACTTTGAGTGCCTGTTGTGTACAAGGTGTGGCAGTAGGTATAGAGTAATACACAAATAAAACCTGCAGTATAGAGTAACACACAAAGAAATAAAACCTGTTTCCGTTCTCAAGAAGCTTGTCTTTGGGAGAAAGATTGGCAGATACGTAACTAATTGTAATGCTTGTCAAAATACAATGGAAACATGAAGATTGGAGAGATTGCTTCTGGTTAGGGGAAGCCCACGGAAGAGGTCACACTGGAATTGAGTTTTGAGGGTTAGAATTTCAGCAGATGAATATAGATTTCGTAAGCAAAGGCACAAAGCACATGATGTGTTTAGGGAATGGGACATCTGGTCTAAGTGGTGTCTCAGGGTGGGAAAAAGGATACATAGCAGGAGGTGAAACAGAAGAGTTGGTTAGGACCAGGCTAAAGGGAGCCTGGAATGCCCTCTTGTCACTTTAACCAGCGAGCAACTTTTGTTTACTTAGTACAGTAAATAAATGTTACAAATTAGTGTAAGATCAGATTTAAGTACTACTTGGCTCATAACTTGTATTTCTAGGGCAGGTTAGTTTTAGGCCAATATTATGAATTCAGCCCATGTATGAGACAAGTTAACTTTGCCTGGTTTCGTGTTTGTTCACATTCTATAACCATAACCTTGATTCAGTAGCTCTCACGTATGTACTAAAGAAAGACAAGCAGTGCATTTCACTATTAGAAAAACAACACTTCAGTGTATTCTTAGTATGATTTTTAAGTTAATAAGCCTAATTAGGAGTGTAACTTTTCTAATTTCTTGTTTTATTTTTCTTTCTAGCTTGGCATTCATTAAACGTACTCCTGTGATTGATGCCGATAAACCCGTCTCTTCTCAGCTCCGGGTCCTTACACTCAGTGAAGACTCGCCCTACGAAACATTGCATTCTTTCATTAGCAATGCGGTGGCTCCTTTTTTTAAGTCCTATATTAGAGAGTCTGGCAAGGCAGACAGGTAAAAACCAGTTTTCTTCTGTGGTTTGAATGTTATATTTCACCTAATGTTCACGAGATAGTGTAGAACTCAGTGTAAAACTTGGGAATTGGGAGGGTAAAGCTAGTGAACCAAGGGGATATAAACCCTGTGCATTAATAAATATGTGTGTCGTTGCTATTTGACAGACCTGAAATGATAGACTCTCCTTGGAGACCAATAGCACACTAAATGTTGAGGTATGCAATGTCATTTCAGGGATGGTGACAAGATGGCTCCTTCGGTTGAAAAGAAGATTGCAGAACTCGAAATGGGACTGCTTCACTTGCAGCAAAATATTGAAATTCCGGAAATCAGCCTGCCGATTCATCCCATCATCACCAATGTTGCAAAACAGTGCTATGAGCGTGGAGAAAAGCCGAAAGTTACAGACTTTGGTGATAAGGTTGAAGACCCGACATTTCTTAATCAGTTACAGTCTGGAGTCAACCGCTGGATCCGAGAAATTCAAAAAGTAAGAGCACAGGATTGAAAGTTATGTAAAATATGTTACTCTTTAATATGTTTGGGTAAGCTGATCTGGATTTTGTCAGTGAGGTAAATTACGTGGTAACGTGTTAGTGGTGCCTCCTCTTGGTGCTGAGACTGTTCAGTGTAGGACGAGCCTTGGTCTAGGCGGAATGGTCAGGGGACAGCGTGAGATTGCTTCAGTCGGCACCCTGATAGAGCATTGAGCATAAAATTGCGTTGTAATGCATGTGTTTAGTTAACGATATCTCTACCTTTAGTGAATACCCTTGGATGTTATTTTATTTTCAAAGGTGACCAAACTGGATCGAGATCCTGCATCGGGAACTGCCTTACAGGAAATTAGTTTTTGGCTAAACTTGGAACGTGCGTTATACCGCATCCAGGAGAAACGGGAGAGCCCGGAAGTTCTCCTGACTCTGGATATCTTGAAACATGGCAAGCGCTTCCATGCCACCGTCAGTTTTGACACTGACACAGGTAACAACTAGAACTAATAATCTGATCAGTAAGTTATTGATCTGGCTTTTATGAGATCTTACTTGATAATTTAAATGAAAACTATAATTTTCATAGATGTACTGTCATTTTTAACGATTTCCTCTTTTACATCACATCTTATCTTTTCCCTCAGTTCCAAGTAATGAAAATTATTCTCCTGCACACTTAGCTTTCCCCTTTCCCTTCAGGGGTTTTAAGAATGTGAAACAGTCTCTAGGTATGAGCACAGATTCCTTCTTGTTTCCCACTGCACGGCGCCATGAGTCATCTCCATGAGTCAGCTGTACTATTGGCACAAAGTCAGGTGTGCTTTTGACAGGCCAGGCAAGAAGGTGGTTTCAGTAAAGCAGTTCTGTTTGCCCAGAGGGTTGTGGAGAAAGAACTAGTCCGTACCACTTTCTCTTCTTCTTTTTACTTGCCCCTTTCTCTTCTTTGTCTTCCTTCCTATTCTGATAAGTGGCCAAAATGAATTTAGTTTTCTGAGTGGAGAACAGTGCCAGTGATGTTGTTTTGTTTTGTTTTGTTTTTATTTCTTTTTAAAATTTTTTTTTTTTAAGAGATGGAGGTCTCACTTTGTTGCCCAGGCTGGAATGCAGTGGCATGATCATAGCTCACTGCTGCCTAGAGTTCCCAGGCTCAAGCAATCCTCCCACCTCAACCACCCAAGTAGCTGGGACTACAAGGGATGCACCGCTATGTCCAACTAATTTTTTAATTTTTGTAGAAATGGGGACTTGCCATGTTGCCCATGCTGGTATCGAACTCCTAGTCTCAAGCAGTCCTCCCGCCTTGGCCTCCCAAAGTGCTAGGATTACAGGCATGAGCTACCACTCACAGTCATTATTATGATTATTTTTAAATTCTTTTAAAAACTTTAAAACTTGGCTGAGCTGCGTGAGCACGTACTAGCTCTACAGTGTTTGAACAGGAGGCATTATTAGGCATTTCTGTTCAACTCTGTGCTCGCAGAAGACGTGTTAGAACAAGTAATTAAGACAGTAGCCGTTGTCATGTTCTCACTTCCCCCAAAAAACGTGTGGTACCCGCGTCTTAAATGTCAGAGGAAACTGCAAGTAGAAACCTTCTGGTTACTTGATCACATTGCACGCGTTACCTGCACATTCGCTATGCTGAAATGTATACTTTGATTTTTTTAACACCTCTGAAACCTTTGTGTTTTTCCTAATACTTTTTTTGATCTTATGCCAAAGAAAGTCAATAAATAGATTAGGATCCAAGCACTTTCGTGATTCCATGTCCGTAGTTAGTAATACATTCACCTAAATTAAACCATGAATGTAAAACTTAAATTTTAATGTTCTCACGGATAAAATTTTAGTTCTTCTAAACTTAATTGTGACTGATAGAACGTTGAAATAATATAGAACAGGGGTCCCCAACCCCCAGTCCCCAACTGGTACCAGTCCGCAGCCTGTTGGGAACCAGGCCATACAGCAGGAGGCCAGCAGCAGTGAGTGAGCGTTACTGCCTGAGCTCTGCTTCCTGTCAGATCAGTGGCAGCATTATATTCTCATAGGAGCACAAACCCTGCTGGGAACTGCGCACGCGAGGGATGTAGATTGTGCACTCCTTGTGAGAATCTAATGATCTATCCACTGTCTCCCATCACATCACCCCCAGATGGGACTGCCTAGTTGCAGGAAAACAAGCTCAGGGCTCCCACTGATTCTACATTATGGTGAGTATGTAATAATAATAATAATAGAAATAGGCTGGGTGCGGTGGCTCATGCCTGTAATCCTAGCACTTTGGGAGGCTGAGGTGGGCGGATCATGAGGTCAGGAGATTAGGGCCATCCTGGATAACACAGTGAAACCCTGTCTCTACTAAAAATACAAAAAACTAGCCGGGTGTGGTGGCGGGCGCCTGTAGTCCCAGCTCCTTGGGAGGCTGAGGCAGGAGAATCGCTTGAACCTGGGAGGCAGAGGTTGCAGTGAGCCGAGATCACACCGCTGCACTCCAGCTTGGGCAACAGAGCAAAACTCCGTTTCAAAAAAACAAAACAAAATAAAATAATAGAAATAAAGTGCACAATAAATGCAATGCACTCAAATCACCTGGAAACTACCCACCCCGCTGCCCCCCGAACCGTCTGTGGAAAAATCGTCTTCCATGAAACTGGTCCCTGTTGCCAGAAATATTGGGGACGCTGATGTAGAAAGCAAAGCAAGGTAAATTCTCTGAGGCTGCCACCTTCAGCCTTTAGAGTGTATGTGAGTTGGCTCATACTCTTAAATAAGCAAAAATGGAACAACGCTAGGGTTATCCTGTTAATAACGTTTTTTCAAACGTGAGTGGTTTTTGTCTCGCTAGATCTTTTGCAACATCAAAATGTTCCATTGTAATTGCACATTTTAGTTCACTTAGTTTTGTTACTTTATGTGAAAACCATTAACTCTTTCTCTGTTAATATAGGTCTAAAACAGGCTTTGGAAACCGTGAATGACTATAATCCTCTGATGAAAGATTTCCCTCTGAATGATTTGCTGTCTGCCACAGAGCTGGACAAAATAAGACAGGCACTTGTTGCCATTTTCACCCATTTGAGAAAGATCCGAAACACAAAATATCCTATTCAGAGGGCACTGCGTTTAGTGGAGGCAATTTCAAGAGACTTGAGTTCTCAATTACTCAAAGTATTGGGTACTAGGAAATTGATGCATGTTGCTTATGAAGAATTTGAAAAAGTAAGTTTGAATATATTAGAAAACTAACCTCAAGACATTTAGATGAAAATATGTCTTAATAATAAGCCTCATTTTTGAAATTATGTCCTAGGTTATGGTAGCATGCTTTGAAGTTTTTCAGACTTGGGATGATGAGTATGAGAAACTTCAGGTATTGTTGAGAGACATCGTCAAAAGAAAAAGGGAGGAAAATCTGAAGATGGTGTGGCGTATCAACCCTGCCCACAGGAAGCTGCAGGCTCGCCTTGACCAGATGAGGAAATTTAGACGCCAGCATGAACAGCTGAGAGCTGTTATCGTCAGGGTCCTGAGGCCGCAGGTACGATTTGCATTCTAAAAATTTGTGGGTTTTTTTGTTTGTTTGTTTTTTGAGATGAAGTTTCACTCTTGTTGCCCAGGCTGGAGTGCGGTGGCGCAATCTCGGCTCACCGCAACCTCCGCAACATCCTGGGTTCAAGCGATTCTCCTGCCTCAGCCTCCCGAGTAGCTGGGATTACAGGCGCCTGTTACCATGCCCGGCTAATTGTTTATATTTTAAGTAGAGATAGGCTTTCACCATGTTGGCCAGGCTGGTCTTGAACTACTGACCTTCAAGTGATCCACCTGCCTCGGCCTCCCAAAGTGCCGGGATTATAGACGTGAGACAGCGTGCCCAGCCTGTTTTTGTTCGAGACAGTCTCATTCTGTTACCTAGGCTGGAGTACAGTGGAGTGATCTTGGCTCACTGCAGCCTTTGCCTCCCGGGCTCAAGCAATCCTCCTGCCTCAGCTTCCTGAGTAGCTGGGACTATAGGCACACCCCACCATGCCTGGCTAATTTATTTGTGTATGTAGCAGGGGTGGTTTGTAGAGGAGGGGTCTCACCATGTTGTCCAGGCTATTCTGGAACTCCTGAGCTCAAATGATCCGCCCACCTCAGCCTCCCAAAGTGCTGGGTTTACAGGCATGAGCCACCACGCCCTGCCCGTAAGCATTGTTTTAATGTGTTTTTTGAAAAATTACTTCTTTTTGTTGTCCTTAGGATCTAGTGATTCTGTATTTATGTGTGTTTGTGTGTGCGTGTGTGTGTGTGTATATATATATTTGAGACTGAGTCTCGCTCTGTCACCCAGGCTGGAGTGCAGTGGTGTGATCTCAGCTCACTGCAAACTCTGCCTCTGGGGTTCAAGCAATTCTGCCTCAGCCTCCAAGTAGCTGAGATTACAGCTGCCAGCCAGCATGCCCAGCTAATTTTTGTATTTTTAGTAGAGATGGGGTTTCACCATGTTGGCCAGGCTGGTCTGGAACTCCTGACCTCAAGTGATCCACCCGCCTCGGCCTCCCAAAGTGCTGGAATCACAGACGTGAGCCACCATGCCCAGTCCATCCAAATCTTAATTAGTGTTTTCCATCCATTTGTCCCTTCCTCCATCTTGCAAGGACCCTAGAGTCAGACTTCCTGGGTTCTAAATCCTAATTCCACCATTTAGTAGCTCTGTGACTGGAACACTTTATTTAATCTCTTTTTCTGAGAGTCCTCTTCTGTAAAACATGGATAGTAATTACATATACCTGAGATTTATTAAAATAATTAAATGAGTAATTTCTTTATGTATTTTTTTTTCTCTTCTGAATTTATCTTTCATTCTTCTTTGTTTTCTGAGACGGAGTCTTGCTCTGTCGCCCAGGCTGGAATGCAATGGCATGATCTTGGCTCACTGCAACCTCCACCTCCCAGGTTCAAGCGATTCTCCTGTCTCAGCCTCCCGAATAGTTGGGAATACAGGCACGTGCCACCATTCCCGGCAAATTTTTTGTATTTTTAGTAGAGCCGGGGTTTTACCATGTTGGCCAGGCTGGTATTGAACCCCTAACCTTGTGATCCATCCTCCTTGGCCTCCCAAAGTGCTAGGATTACAGGCGTGAGCCACTGCACCCGGCCTATCTTTCATTCTTCTTCACCAGTTCTTCTTTAAAAAAAATCTGCTCCAACGAAACCATATTGTCTGAAAAACCTTTGTAGTACAGAGTTAAAATATACTCTATAGTATGTTACTTGGCGTTGCTAAGTTGTGGTTCTAAAGTGTTTGACTCAAAGTTTAAAAATCCGTATTGCTAATTGGTAGCTTTTGTGTGGTATATACAACAGAATTTTAAAAGTCTTCCAGGCATGGTGGCTCACACCTGTAATTCCAGCACTTTGGGAGGCTGAGGTGGGAGGATCACCTGAGCCCAGCAGTTAGAAGCTGCACAGAGTGAGACCCTGTCTCATAAAAAATAAAAATAAAGTTTATTTTATTTATTTATTTGTTTTGAGACAGAGTCTCATTCTGTTGTCCAGGCTGGAGTGCAGTGTTGTGATCTCAGCTCACTCCAGCTTCCACCTCCTGGGTTCGAGTGAGTCTCCTGCCTCAGCCTCCCAAGTAGCTGGGATTACAGGCCTGCATCAACACGCCCGGCTAATTTTTGTATTTTCAGTAGAGATGGGGTTTCAGCATGTTGGCCAGGCTGGTCTCGAACTCCTGACCTCAGGTGATCCACCCGCCTCACCCTCCCAAAGTGCTGGGATTATAGGCGTGAGCCATTGTGCCCAGTTTAAAATAAATTTTAAAGCCTTCATTGGTCAGCATTTCTTGATGACGTATCTTTCTCCTTTAGGTCACAGCAGTTGCACAACAGAATCAAGGAGAGGTCCCCGAACCCCAAGATATGAAAGTGGCTGAGGTTCTCTTTGATGCTGCAGATGCGAATGCCATTGAGGAAGTAAACCTTGCTTATGAGAACGTCAAGGAAGTGGACGGGCTGGACGTTTCCAAAGAGGGCACGGAAGCCTGGGAGGCTGCGATGAAGAGGTACGATGAGAGGATCGACCGAGTGGAGACCCGGATCACTGCTCGCCTTCGAGATCAGCTTGGCACAGCCAAGAATGCCAACGAGATGTTCAGGATTTTCTCGAGGTTTAATGCGCTGTTTGTCAGACCTCACATCCGTGGGGCCATTCGCGAATACCAGACCCAGCTGATCCAGCGTGTGAAAGATGACATCGAGTCTCTTCACGACAAGTTCAAGGTCCAGTACCCACAGAGTCAGGCTTGTAAGATGAGTCACGTTCGTGACTTGCCCCCCGTGTCGGGGTCTATCATCTGGGCTAAACAGATCGACAGGCAGCTGACAGCCTACATGAAGCGGGTGGAAGATGTCCTTGGCAAGGGCTGGGAAAATCACGTGGAGGGGCAGAAGCTGAAGCAGGATGGAGACAGCTTCCGTATGAAGCTCAACACACAGGAGATCTTTGATGACTGGGCAAGGAAGGTGCAGCAGCGCAACCTCGGTGTCTCGGGGCGCATTTTCACTATTGAAAGTACTCGGGTTCGGGGCCGAACTGGAAATGTGCTTAAGCTGAAAGTTAACTTTCTTCCTGAGATTATCACACTATCCAAAGAAGTCCGGAACCTCAAGTGGCTTGGTTTCCGAGTCCCACTGGCGATTGTGAACAAAGCCCATCAAGCGAACCAGCTTTACCCATTTGCCATCTCACTGATCGAGAGCGTTCGTACCTATGAACGGACCTGCGAGAAGGTGGAGGAGCGGAACACCATTTCGCTTTTGGTGGCTGGCTTGAAAAAGGAAGTGCAGGCCCTGATCGCAGAAGGCATTGCGTTGGTGTGGGAATCCTACAAACTTGACCCGTACGTACAGCGCTTAGCAGAGACTGTCTTCAACTTCCAAGAAAAGGTATGCTCTCGTGTAATCCTCAGGTGTCCTGGTAATGAATGAGGCACGGTAATAGCGAGCTCAGCTAAAACACCAGGTCTCCCGAAGAAGGCATGCATGGTTGATGCAGCATACGGCCGTGTGAGCTGCAAGGGAGGACGACCCTTTGTACTCACCAGGCTGTTAGATGGTGCTGGGGCTTCAGGGAGGCCATTAAGTAACAACCTGAGTTTAGAAACAAGTGGAGAGCTAAAGGACACAGGAGTCTGACAGAGAGCAGAATGCAGTGTTATTGCTGATGCAGCTGAATGCAGAGCAGGCTCTAGGTCTGCAGCCATGGAGGCCTGCTAATGACCTACCCAGAGCCCGCGGCTGCCAGCAGAGCAGATGCATACGACAGCAAGGCTGGCTCACCAGTCACAGGAGGAGCTGAACAGAGCACGTTTGTTTCCTTCTCCCACATTTACCCGTCAGAGGTCACCCCTCCCGTGAGTGGGAGTAAGGGAAGAGAAGCTGGGGAGGCTCCATGCATTTTCCTTCCCTCTGCAAGGACATGCGAGTGGGGATTAGTGTTCTCACCCCAGCAGCTAGGATTAGCTACTTATGGAAGAACTGCCTGGAGCATTTGTCAATGTATAATACCCGAGGAGAACGTTGTGTGAGGATAAAGGAACAGAGTGTGAGTGGGTGTTTTACATATTAAATATTTCTTCCTTCAGGTGGATGATCTGCTGATCATTGAAGAAAAAATAGACCTAGAGGTCCGTTCCTTGGAAACTTGTATGTATGACCATAAGACATTCTCAGAGATCTTGAACAGAGTCCAGAAAGCAGTGGATGACTTAAATCTGCACTCCTATTCCAATTTGCCCATCTGGGTCAACAAGCTTGACATGGAGGTAAGGGTTAGAATTTGCTTGCGTGTTCCTCCTTTTTCTTCTGCTTACCCTCCAGTAAGTTTATTAGTTTGTCACTAAAAAGTATTTTTCCCTGGAAATTATCTGTGATAGTTCACTTCCCCTCCAAAATCTCTCTCATTTAACTAATGATAGAACTGAATTGTGGCCAGGCACAGTGGCTCATCACGCCTGTAATCCTAGCATTTTGAGAGGCCGAGGCAGGCAGATCGCTTGAGCCCAGGAGTTCAAGACCAGCATGGGCAACATAGCAAGACCCTATCTCTACTATAAATACAAAAACTTAGCCAGGTGTGGTGACGAGCACCTGTAGTCCCAGCTACTCAGGAAGCTGAGGCGGGAGGTCACTTGAGCCCAGGAGGTGGAGGTTGCAGTGAGCCGAGATTGCACCACTGCACTCCAGCCTGTGTGGCAGAGTGAGACCCTGTCACACACACACAAAAGGAACTGAATTATGATACTGCATGTCAGTACTCACATCAAGTTTAAGTTGGAAGCAGGGAGACAAGAGGGAGGAGAAAGTGCTCCCTTTATTTGCTGGATATTTGATAACTTCCTATTTGCCCTTCCTTGCTTTTCTTCACGCTTACCAATCCATTCCTTTTCTCATTGGTGGACTTCAGAGAGCACGCCAGAGGAGAGTGCTGGGGAGGAGGATATTTTATAGCAGAGGTTACAGGTTGTGAAGGATTGGTGATTCGGTGTCCAAAGATGGAGAACACAACCTAACAAGTGATCTGCGGCTGGGAGAAAGTGAGATTCTGAGAAGAGAGAGATGAAGGTTTATAGTTAGGAACTGTGTATCTTTGATCTGAAACACCTACCACTTTCTAATTAACTTGCTTTGTGAGCTAACTTTTAGAAGAAACACTATTCTCTGATATAACATTGTGTGTAGATTGAAAGAATATTGGGCGTCCGTCTGCAAGCTGGCCTAAGAGCTTGGACCCAGGTTCTTCTTGGACAAGCTGAAGATAAAGCAGAAGTTGACATGGACACGGATGCTCCACAAGTTAGTCACAAGCCTGGTGGAGAGCCAAAGATCAAAGTGAGTACTTCTGTGGCTTTCTATTTGCTAGTAAGTACAATAACAAAACTCTCCCGTTAAAAAGCACCTATGAAAAGGTCACTTAGTGTGGACACCTGGCAGATGCCACCTTAACCAGGTGATGAAGGTCAGCCTCACCCGGGCGATGCGCAGGTGTCATGTACCCTCCGATGTGATGTGATGGGAAGGGAAGGGCAGGTCACCTCTGCGCTCCTTTTCCAAAATCCCTCACTCTCATGCGAGATGTTAACATTAGAGAAAGCTGGTGGAGGGTATGTGGAAACTCCTTGTACTTCCCTTGCAACTCTCCTGTAAGTCTAAAATAATTATTTTAAGTCCTAAAAAATGAAAAATTAAATTTTAGAAAAGAAAACTACACTGTGGCAAAAAATGTCTTACCCAACATTCATGCAGTAAATTATTTCAAGAACTGCAGGTAATCCACCAGAAGAAAGTGTTCAGACCGTGACGTTGAAACGTACTCTACTGTTTTAACAAAGGTCTCAGTCCACATCCCTGGGAAGAAGGTGGCACACGGTGGCCACCGCACAGAGTAGTAGTCTGTGCCTCCCGAGCCATCTCTTCCCCATTGGTGTGGAGCTTAGCAAGCTTTCTACACAACTGAATGCTTCTGTCAACTAGCACTGTGTAAGCAGCCCTATCTGCTGCTGTTGGTGTGGTTACGAAGGAATCCACCTTACAGTAAGTGTTTGTAGTATTTGTGTTATATTCACCAATAGAAAGGCCTCACAAAACAGTAAAAACTTTGATCTGGGAGAAACAGTTGGCTTTGTGTCCCTACCTACACTTTACCTTTTTATTTTTTTCCCTTACACTTGAAAAATGTTTTCATTTTTGAATATTTCTATTTTTACCTTTGACTATTACTATTATTGGATATTCATCCCCAGAGCATACGTTTTAGAATACCAAGTCCCAGAGAAGCAAATGAGTGTTTCTGAATTGATACAATTACAGTCATGCACTGCATAATGACATTTCAGTCAACGACAGACCACATATACAATGGTGGTCCTGAAGATTACAATACCATATTTTTACTGTCCTTTTTCTTTTTCTTTTTTTTTTTTTTTTTGAGACAGAGTCTCGCTCTGTCGCCCAGGCTGGAGTGCAGTGGCCGGATCTCAGCTCACTGCAAGCTCCGCCTCCCGGGTTTACACCATTCTCCTGTCTCAGCCTCCCGTTACTGTCCGTTTTCTATGTTGAAATATGTTTAGATACACAGATACTTACCATTGTGTTCCAGTTGCCTGCGGTATTCAGTACAGTACCATGCTGTGCAGATTTACAGCCCAGGAGCAATCGGCCATGCCACGTAGCCTAGGTGGGCAGTCAGCTCTGTCAACTCGACTTGTGTAGGTACATGCTGTAGAGTTTGCACAGTGACAGAATCGCCTAACCGTGATTCTCAGAACTTGTCCCTGTTGTTCAGCAACACATGACTGTCTAGTGGAGACTAAGTTGGAATTCTTGTTTAGCTTAAAGCACTGGCAGGTGGCACAGACTTACCTGACCTTGGTCAACCTAAGTCATTGCCCGACAACTGATAACCTGACTTGTGTCACTGCTTCAGTGGTGCTAGTTTCTCAGGTCTCAAGGTCATTATATTGAGACCGTCATATACTTATGTCCCATCAGATGAAGGTTCGTTGAGTACCTGTTATCCTTAGAGCACTTTCGTTATCCTTAGAGGACTCACTGGTTTCTTTTCATAAGGAAAAAGCCCCTCTTCTTAAAGAGCACTTTGCAGACGTTTCACTCCTTTTCCAGTAAGTTTGAGGTAGGAGCTTTTACCTTGTAGCAGAGCAGTATTAACATGTAGTTGGTTCACCTGGGAGACAAAGAGGCTGGCCGTGGGGCTGACCGTGCGGATGCAGGTCACACTGAGTGTGGGAGAAGGTGTTGTGTAATGTGCTGAGGCGGCCACCTCAGTGGAGAAATGGAAAGACTCAATTTTAAGCTAATGTGAAATCAGAGAATGCTGTAATAAATAAATGCCTTAAGAGTATTCAAAATATGCTTCCATATTTCAAAATATAAAATGTAACATGACAGGAGATTTTGCGTTTGACATTGGGTCTGGGAAGGAAGGGCCAGACCTTGGAACCTTTGGAAGCTGCTGTGACAGGTCTTGCAAGGCTAGGCCTAGGCTTTGGTCTAAAAGGAACATTTAAAAAGTTGCCCTGTAAAGTTATTTGGTGTCATTGACCAATTGCATTCCTGCTAAAAAGCAAGAGGCACCGTTGCCTGGATAATAGAGGATGTGTTTCAGCCCTGAGATGTTCGAGTTGAAGAGCTCAGTTTTCCCTGAGCATTTCTCTGTTTTTCCAGTTATCCCCGAAATTTCTGTGTATTATGTTTTTGGGGAAGTGAGGTGTGCTCAGTTTTTTAATCTAACAACTAGTTTTGGGGACTTGCCCACATCTCTGGAATTTGAATGGGGATTGTATCCCGTTTTACTGTCTTTTAGGTTTACATTTACCACGTTTCTCTTCTCTGCTCCCCTTGCCCACTGGGGACTCCTCTTTGGCTCCTTGAAGTTTGATGCTTAGAGTTGGAAGTCCAGCAGGCAGGTGATCATGCTGCAAGCTCTTTCTGGACCTCTGGCAAAGGGAGTGGTCAGTGAAGGCCATCGTTACCTTGGGATCTGCCAGACTGGGGTGTTTTCAGTGTCTGCTGTCCACAGCTCTCCACTGTAATCCGAATACTTTGCCGTGCACTAATCTCTTTGGAGATAAAATTCATTAGTGTGTTACTAAATGTTAATTTTCTTTTGCAGAAAATACAGTACCGTGTCTTAATTAATTATTAATATTTAAAATATTTCATTCCTTAACTCTCCCTCATTTGCTTTGCCCACAGCCTATTCAGTTCCTTTTTTGGCAGGATTCTGCAAAATGTGTCTCACCCGCTACTGAGATTGTTCAGCCTCTGATGTATTTGTATTGATTTGTTTCTGGTGGTAGCTTGTCCTGAAATGTGTGTAGAAAGCAAGTGTTGTATGATAAAATTGTTGTGTAGTGCGTGCTGTGTGGAGTTCGGAGGAAACCAGACTTAGTGATTAACGGTGCCAGAAAATGCAAGTGGCCGGCCATGGTTCAGACGGCAGTGGTGCTGTTCCTCTTGTGTGGCCTCTTAGACTTCTGTTGCCCTAAAATTCCGTTTTATTGGGAACCCATTTTTCCACCTGGTCTTTCTTGACAGGGTTTTTTTCTATTTTAAACAGTTTCTAAGTAAAATTCTGTATTTCAAGAGTGAAAAAAAAAAACCCCCCACACACAAATTAGCTGGGCATGGTGGTACGTGCCTGTAGTCCCAGCTTCTTGGGAGGCTGAGGCAGGAGAATGGCTTGAACCCGGAGGCGGAGCTTGCAGTGAGCCGAGATGGTGCCACTGCACTCCAGCCTGGCAACAGAGTGAGACTCCGTCTCAAATAAAACAAAAATAAAACCAAAACAAAAATTAGCTGGGCGTGATGGTGCATGCCTGTGGTCCCAGCTACTTGGGGGGCCGAGGCAGGAGGATTGCTTGAGGCCAGAATGTCAAGTGAGCCATGTCGCCACAACACTCCAGCCTGGGTGAGAGAGTGAGACCCTATCTCAAGAAAACAAAAACCAAAGGACTTGGCATGGTGGCTCACGCCTGTAATCCCAACACTTTGGGAGGCTAAGGCAGGTGGATCACCTGAGATCAGGAGTTTTAGACCAGCCTGACCAACATGCTGAAACCCATCTGTACTAAAAATGTATAATTAGCTGGGTGTGGTGGCACATGCCCATAATCCCAGCTACTTGGGAGGCTTAGGAGAATCACTTGAACCCCGGAGACAGAGGTTGCAGTGAGCCAAGGTTGCACCATTGCACTGCAGCCTGGGCAATTTCTGTCTTAAAACAAAAAAAATTGTATTGCAATAGATTGCTGAGTAAAAAATGAAACCTTTCTTTCACAGAATGTTGTTCATGAGCTAAGAATAACCAATCAGGTAATCTACTTGAATCCGCCAATTGAAGAGTGCAGATACAAGCTGTATCAGGAAATGTTTGCCTGGAAGATGGTTGTCCTGTCTCTCCCCAGGATCCAGAGTCAGAGGTACCAGGTAAGCCTTTGGCGACTTGAAGCACACGCCTCTGACCAGGCTTCTCATGGGGTCGTGATACCACTTCTTCATGGGGCTTCTTTACGTAAGCTCTTGATGTTGTTTACAAACTCCAGACATCCCAGGGGAAAGTTAGGGAGGCTTTTTGTGCCCTGACCTTTTTTTCCAGCTAGTTACTTGGCATTTGTAGCTTGGTCTCAGTAGTCTCTTTGAACTTCTGTCCATGAGCTTCTTTGGGAATCTCAATTCCTGCTTCTCCCTCTCCTCCCCACCTCCCACTTTTTATTAGGGGAATTTTAAAACATACACAAAAGTTGAGGGAATCAAGAGCCCCCCACCACACAGCTTTATCAATATGTGGCCAATGTTATTTATATTTTCTTCCCTACCTCTCCACCCCCACCAGATTATCTTAAAGCAAATCTCAGATATAACATACTCGTGGTAAATTTTTAGAGCAAAAGGAAAGCTCAAAAGACCATTTAGTCCCCAGTGTCACTTCTAAACAGAACCAGTGGCTTTCAATAAAAAGATGGCACAACTTCTGCTATTGCAGACTCTTCCAGAATTTAGTGATCTTGTTAAGACAGTATCCCTTTTCTTAACTTTGAACATAAACTCAGATCTTTTAGGATTTTTTTTGAGGTAGTTAATTGCCTATGGCTAAAATCATGGTAGTGTTTCACCTAATGCTGGGCACTGTCCAGCTAAGCAGAGCCAAGCTCTGGATATTGGCTTCTGCCCTTCAAGGAGTCCACATACAATTCTTAGCATCTTTCTCATCATGCTTCTGTTTTTAACCAGCCTTGTTTCTGTTTGCATCATTCTCTTGCTTATCTCCAAATTTAACAAACTAAAGCCAGCAGTCTCCTTGTTCCCTAGAGCCCATCCCCTCACTCTTGTTCAGCTGTTCTTCCCTCTCTTCTGGGTCTTCTTTGAGTACCTAAACGGGACCCCACGTCCCCCGCAATCTTCATAAGGAAGCTCCCTTCTCAGGCGCTCATCCAGCCTCCTCCAGCACTGCTCTGTGTGATCGCCCGCGGTCCCACCCTGCTGACTAGTGGGCTTCTCTGTCCTTGCCTCACCTCTTAACTGCAGGATTTGATGGAAGCTGCCTCCTGCGTGATGCGCTGGACTCTTCAGAACACCGTGCCTCCTGGTTCTCCTCCCACTTCAGTGGCTAGTCTCCTTTATTGCTTCCTCTTTTGGCTTCCCCTTAAACTCCCTCTAAATGTTCCATTTCCTCTCCACTCCTGTGCACTGTCTTTGTGGTCTCATCTAGTCTTATTGACTTTAAATGCCACCTGCAAGCTGACAACTCTGTGTTCATATCTCCAGCTGACCTTTTCTCCCGATCCAGGCTTGTCTGGCCAGCTGTCAGCATGGCATCTCCACTTGGCTGTCTGGGAGTGGAGTCACACTGAGCACCTGTTGAGCCCTGCCTCCCCGAGTTTGATCTTCCCTCAGTCTTTCACTTCCCATCCTTCAGCTCATTCAGGCCAAAAATCGTGGTGTTGTCCTTGACTCCCATTGTGTGTCTCTTGAAAATGAATGCTGAGCTGTTCACTGGACCCACTCCGTACAAGATACCATCACCTCTCACTTGAATTATTAATGTTCCCTCCTATCTGTTCTCTCTGCCTTTGCCTCCCTAAAATCTGTTTTCAACACAGCAGCCAAAGCAAGTCTTAGATTCTGAGTCAATCCTGACACTCTTTTCAGAGCCCTTGAATGACTTCCTATCTCACGCATGAAAACCAAAGCCCCAGCGGCTTGCTGGGCCCCGTGTAATGTGCTGCTTATTGTTTCTCTGACTTCAGCTGCTGCTGCTGCTTCCTTCACTGGCTCTGCCCCATCACACTGCAGTCTTGCTGGTCCTCAAACATGCTGGTAGACTCTTGCCCCTACGCCTTCACATTTGTTGATCTCAACTCAGAATCCTTGGCGGCAAATATTCACAACTTACCCCTCCCCTCTTCCTGGTTTCTCGCAACTTTCCCCTTCTCAGCGAGGCCTTTCCTGACCTCACTATTGAAAATGCAGCCTTCAGGCCGGGCACGGTGGCTCAAGCCTGTAATCCCAGCACTTTGGGAGGCCCAGACGGGTGGATCACGAGGTCAGGAGATCGAGACCATCCTGGCCAACACGGTGAAACCCCGTCTCTACTAAAAAATACGAAAAACTAGCCAGGCAAGGTGGCGGGTGCCTGTAGTCCCAGCTACTCGAGAGGCTGAGGCAGGAGAATGGCGTAAACCCGGGAGGCGGAGCTTGCAGTGAGCGGAGATCCGGCCACTGCACCCCAGCCTGGGCGGCAGAGCGAGACGCCGTCTCAAAAAAAAAAAAAAAAAAAAGGAAAATGCAGCCTTCCCCGTGCTGCGCCCACACTCCCTCTCCTCCTCACTCTGCTCCATAGTTCCCTCTCACCACCTGACATTCTGGCGGTTTTGCTTATTCCCTAATCACATCTCTCGTAGAGTGTAAGCAAGCAGGGGTTTTTTTACCTGCTTTTTGTACCTAGAATAGTGTCTGGCACATAACAGGCACTCAGTTAAAATGAGCAAATGGCTTCATGCACTCTTCAGCTGTTTTTGCATTGCCACATTTCTCTGTTGTCATTAATGTGTCTTGTATTGGTTTGATGAATTAAATATAAGTAGGCTTTCTGGTTACTTGTGGCCAGGGTAAGTGGATGTTACCCCTTAAATGCCATTTTGGCCATGAGCTTTTTTTCAGTTCATTTTATTTAAGTAAAAGGTGACACTTAGATTACCGCTTTCATATACACTACTTGCATTCATTTCGGCTTTGGTTGGCCAGGTGGGTGTACATTACGAATTGACTGAGGAAGAAAAATTCTATCGGAATGCTTTAACACGGATGCCTGATGGCCCTGTTGCCCTGGAAGAGTCGTATTCTGCTGTCATGGGCATTGTAACTGAAGTTGAGCAATATGTCAAGGTAAGAAACTCCTAATTTCATTCAAATATGCATATGATCTATTCTAGACGCTTAAGAGTACAAGATATAAAGAACATGGAGCTAAAAGGTCTTGACTGTATGTGTGGTTCGCTGGATTATATTTGCTCTTTCAAAGCAGAGAGTAAATGCTAGCATACATCTTTTGGAGTTTTAACCATGACATTCGAGAATAGTAAGTTTTATTCTTTTTTGATATGAAAATTCTGAGAATCTCAAATGAGAATTTCTCTAACAGTGGTGAAAGACATGAACCTTCTTAATGGAAAATGTGAACGTCAGAGGTGCTAGTATTCTACAAAATGAAAACTCAAACTATTATTTAACTGTGTTCTTCATTTGCAGGTTTGGCTTCAGTATCAGTGTTTATGGGATATGCAAGCTGAAAACATCTATAACAGACTTGGAGAAGATCTCAACAAATGGCAGGCTCTCCTGGTCCAAATAAGGAAGGCCAGAGGAACCTTTGACAATGCGGAAACCAAGAAAGAGTTTGGACCAGTAGTTATAGATTATGGCAAGGTGAGCACTGCTACTAGTTGAAAGGTATCAAGGGAAGTGTAAAAGCAATATTTCTGTTAGACTGATACTCATTGGAAGGATAAATGCCAGCAGAAAAGAGCTGATGATGTGTTGTGTGCTGTTTCACCCTCAGGTACAATCTAAGGTGAACTTGAAATATGACTCTTGGCATAAGGAGGTTCTTAGCAAATTTGGGCAGATGCTAGGATCAAACATGACGGAATTCCATTCCCAGATCTCAAAGGTGAGGACATAAGATTCTGTCTCTGTAACCAGTCTACTAGTAAACCCCGGCTCTGTGATGAAATGCTCCCCTCTCTCTGAACAGTCCCGCCAAGAGTTGGAGCAGCACTCAGTAGACACAGCCAGCACCTCCGATGCAGTGACCTTCATCACCTATGTGCAGTCTTTGAAACGGAAGATCAAGCAGTTTGAGAAGCAAGTTGAGGTGAGCTCTATGAATATTTAAAAATTTTCAGCTGGGCGCCATGACTCACGCCTGTAATCCCAGCAGTTTGGGAGGCCGAGGCGGGCGAATCACAAGGTCAGGAGATCAGGACCATCCTGGTTAATGCGGTAAAACCCCATCTCTACTAAAAATAGAAAAAATTAGCCGGGTGTGGTGGCGGGTGCCTGTAGTCCCAGCTACTCGGGAGGCTGAGGCAGGAGAATGGCATGAACCTGAGAGGCGGAGCTTGCAGTGAGCCGAGATGGCGCCACTGCACTCCAGCCTGGGCAACAGAGAGCAAGACTGTCTCAAAAAAATAAATAAATAAAAATTTAAAAATCACACTAGATCTCTAGTTTAATTTGGCTTCTATAGTATTTTGCATTCTGAGAGAATGACCTGACTCAACCCTTAAGGCACTCTTTTCTTAGTATGGCCCACAGATCATCTCTATTACAACAGCCTGATGTGCTTGTTAAAACTCAGTGCAGGCCAGGCGTGGTGGCTCACGCCTGTGATCCCAGCACTTTGGGAGTCTGAGGTGGGCAGATCACCTGAAGTCAGGAGTTTGAGACCAGCCTGGCCAATATGGTAAAACCCCATCTCTACTAAAGATATACAAAAAATTACCTGAGTGTGGTGGCACGTGCCTGTAGTCCCAGCTACTTGGGAGGCTGAGGCAGGACAATCGCTGGAAGCTGGGAGGTGGAGGTTGCAGTGAGCTGAGATCGTGCCAGTGCACTCCAGCCTGGGTGACAGAGCAAGACTCCATCTCAAAAAGCTAAATAAATAATGAAAAACTCAATGCAGATACTTGTCATCTGGGTTTTTCTGTTTTTTGTTGTTGTTGTTTTCCGAGATGGAGTCTCGCAGTGGTGCAATCTCGGCTTACTGCAACCTCTGCCTCCCAGGTTCAAGCAATTCTCCTGCCTCAGCCTCCCAAGTAGCTGGGATTACAGGCGCCCACCACCATGCCCAACTAGTTTTTGTATTTTTAGTAGAGACGGGGTTTCTCCATGTTGGCCAGGGTGATCTCGAATTCCTGGCCTCAGGTGATCTGCCCGCCTTGACCTCCCAAAGTGCTGGGATTACAGGCGTGAGCCACCATGCCCGGCCAAGTATCCTTTTAATAACTTGGAATAAAGGGTGAAGCCCAGCTCTACCTTGCTTTGTATCCTGTCCGGGGCCATCTGGATGCAGTGGAGTGCAGCACCCAGACTAGCTGCAGTGGGCTCTCAGAGGAAGTCGCCCTCTGGCCACGATGTCTTAGGATGAATGGTTTTAGGAGAAGAGCACATGTATTGATCTTGTGTGTTTTGTTTTGTTTTGTTTGAGGCAGCATCTCACCTGTCACCCAGGCTGGAGTGCAGTGGCAGGATCCTAGCTCACTGCAGCCTCAATCTCCTCAAACCTCCTCAAATCTCCTCACATCTCCTCCTCCGCCTCTTGAGTAGCTGGGCTTACAGATACATGCCACCATGTCCGGCTGATTTTTTTATTTTTAAGTAGAAACGAAGTCCTGCCATGTTGCCCAGGCTGGTCTTAAACTCCTGGACTCAAGCAATCCACCTGCCTCAGCCTCCCAAAGTGCTGGGATTACAGGCGAGAACCACTGTGTCCGGCCAGTCTTGCATGTTTTATAGCTATCGAGTGCCTTCTCTTTCATGGGGCTCTAATTAATAATTTCTATCATTGTTGTAGAAGAAAAAATTTGATTTGTTTGTTAACTCTCAAAGCTCTACCGCAATGGCCAGCGCTTACTGGAAAAGCAAAGATTCCAGTTCCCACCTTCCTGGCTTTATATTGACAACATCGAGGGAGAGTGGGGAGCCTTCAATGACATCATGCGGCGAAAGGACTCTGCCATTCAGCAGCAGGTGGCAAACCTGCAAATGAAGATTGTCCAGGAGGATCGGGCCGTGGAAAGCCGCACCACCGACCTGCTGACTGACTGGGAGAAGACCAAGCCTGTCACGGTGAGTCCCGCCTGTTGGGGACCCAGGAGACTCCTCACCCAGCAGTGTGATTTGGTGACTTTCTTTCAAGCCTAAAAGTCCTTGCTGTGACTGAGCTTTCCAGTACTGAAGACTCTTTTCCTTTTTGTAGTTAAAAAAGCAGATGGAGATAGTAAATGTGAAAATATGAAGCCCAGCTTAGACCTCTTTTTACCCAGAATGGCATTCAGGAGCTGGTTTCAAGGATTAAAGTTTTTCTGTTCTTAGATCATTCATTCTCTTACGTAGATATGCACAGAAATTAGAATTTAATTTCCTGTAGACAAAGGCCAAGCTTCCCACTGCTGCTGCTAGTTAATTTGATTTTGGTTGGATGGTCTCTGGTTTTGCCAGTGCTGCTGGTGGGTTGTGGGGAGGCAGGTTCTGTTGCCATCGTTACCGTAGCCATTAAACCTGCCACCACTCAGAAACTGCCACATCCACTCTTCTTCTTGCATTCAAGCATTTATTGAGCACCAGCTGTGTTCCAGGCATTGTTCTAGGTCGTGGAGATATAGCAGTGAGTGAAAAGGACAGGAGCCTCCTACCTTCATGGAGTCACGCTCAGTGGGAGAGAGAAAAAATGAGCCAGAAGAGACAGGCAAGGCAGGTGGTAGTGCTGCTGCGACAGAAGTGGATGAGAGGATGCTGGCTTGGTGGCTACTGCCGTGCCGGGGAGGGTGGTGTGGAAGGGGGCTGGCAACTCGTGCTGATGGCGGAGGCGATAGTAGATAATGGTGTGTTTGGTTTACTGGGAGTGGAATTCAAAATTGTATGTATTTTATGTTCTGCTCCCCTTGTTATTTGTATTGGTGGTTTCCTAAGGGCGCATGAAATTATCTGGAGAGCATGTAAATGCAAATGCCTGGGCCCTCTCCTCTCTACATGCTGATCCCGTTGGGTTATCGTGGGTCCCAGGCGAGTGGTTTGTTTTCTTTCTAATTTTCAAATTTTTAAATTTTTATTTATTTATGGAATATAAGCATAGAAAAGACAAATGGAAAAGATGTGAACATATTTTGAATATTAATCTTTTTCTCATTTGGGGATGTAAGTTTCCTACAGTAGGCCAGTGACAGATTGAGCCTTCCACAAAGATCTGCTGGTGAATGTCCCATCCTGCCGGTAACCGCTCCCGTGCTGCTGGGCCCCTCCCTGCGGGTTCTACTGTGTCCTTGGTTTTTAATTTTGATTTGATGGTCTCTGCTTTTGTCAGTGCTGCTATTGCTGCTAGGTTATAAGTGCTTGCTCCAGTGGAGGAGTTGAGTAGTAATAGCAAGATTCTGGTCATCAAAATTTGAATATTTTTTATCACCTCACCTTGGTGCCAGTAATGTGTTAGAGTTAAAATTTTTTTTTTTTTTTTTTGCTCTGTCGCCCAGGCTGGAGTGCAGTGGCGCAATCTCAGCTCACTGCAAGCTCCACCTCCTGGGTTCACACCATTCTCCTGCCTCAGCCTCGCGAGTAGCTGGGACTACAGGCGCCTGCCACCACCTCTGGCAAATTTTTTGTATTTTTTAGTAGAGATGGGGTTTCACTGTGTTAGCCAGGATGGTCTCGATCTCCTGACCTCATGATCCACCCACCTCGGCCTCCCAAAGTGCTGGGATTACAGGCGTGAGCCACCACGCCCGGCCAAAAATTTTTTTTGAGGCAGAGTCTCACTATGTCGCCCAGGCTGGAGTGCAGTGATGTGGTCATAGCTCATTGAAGCCTCTGTTTCCTGGGAGCAAGCATTGTAGCTGGAACTACAGGCGTGCCCCGCCATACCCAGATTACTGTTTATTTTTAGTAGAGATGAAGTCCCAGGCTGGTCTGAAACTCCTGAACTCAAGCCGTCTCCCTGCCTTCACCTCCCAAAGTGATAGGATTACAGGCGTGAGCCACTGCGTCCAGCCTAAGTAAAATGTTTTTTGATATCTTGCCTTAGTAGAAAACAGCAATATTTTGTACACCTCTCAACAGTTATCAAAATGAAAAGGAAGTATGCCAGTAGTAGTGTTAATGCTGAAGTAGAGTCTGTTTCTGGTGATTTCTCATTCTTCTCTTAGCTAGGTGACTGATGTAACAACTGTGTTCTCTGGGGAGGATATGGCTGGCAGGCCCCGGGGGTTTGTCCTCTTGTATCACTGGGGATGTGCACTTGAGACCGAGTCTGTGCTGCCTCTTCTCCCACCTTCCAGGGTACTGAGTAAGACAATGGCTAAATCAAGAGATGCTCCACCATTCTATTTTATGTAAAATATTGATGTAAAAATTAAATTCACTACTGTACACACATCCAAAGTGGACATCTTGTTGAATGTTTCCTTATGAAGATGTGTGCAAACAATCCGAAATGTCCAGAAGCCCTGTGGGCTCCATGCGCCATCTTAAAGCCTCAGTGCTCATCTCTCCCGAGACGTTGTGCTCCAATTCTCTGTGCTCTGCTTTCAGGGCAACCTTCGCCCAGAAGAGGCACTTCAGGCTCTCACCATATATGAAGGGAAGTTTGGTAGGCTGAAGGACGACAGAGAGAAGTGTGCAAAGGCCAAGGAGGCGCTGGAATTGACAGATACTGGGCTTCTCAGTGGCAGTGAAGAGCGCGTGCAGGTATGAACCACTGGGGAGGGGTGGAGAGTCCCGCTCCCCACCCGGACTCTGCCATTGACTTTGTTCATCTCCGGGGCCCTGCCAGATTCTGGGGCCATTTCTGTTTCCAAAGTCAACTGCTTTACTACTCTCAATCACAGGTGGCCTTAGAAGAATTACAGGACCTCAAAGGCGTTTGGTCAGAACTTTCTAAGGTTTGGGAGCAAATCGATCAGATGAAGGAGCAACCCTGGGTTTCAGTACAGCCTCGAAAGGTATATCTCATGAAATCGGTGTTTGTGTATGTCTATTTTAACAGTTACAGACCTTATTTAGGAACGTGACAAGCCAAGTTCGTGTATTTGTATCGTGAGTTCATAAGATGTCACTTAATGTCCTGCATGTCATTTACATTATTCGTCCAGAATATTGTAAAACTTATTTTGAAACCTTTTTTTTTTTTTTTTTTTTGAGACGGAGTCTTGCTCTGTCCCCCAGGCTGGAGTGCAGTGGCGCGATCTCGGCTCACTGCAAGCTCCGCCTTCTGGGTTCATGCCATTCTCCTGCCTCAGCCTCCTGAGTAGCTGGGACTACAGGCGCCCGCCACCGTGCCCGGCTAATTTTTTGTATTTTTAGTAGAGATGGGGTTTCACTGTGGTCTCGATCTCCTGACCTTGTGATCTGCCCACCTCGGCCTCCCAAAGTGCTGGGATTAGAGGCATGAGCCACCGCGCCCGGCCTGAAACCATTTTTTAAAGAAATATTTCCATTTAAAGAAATGCCAGCAAGCTAAATAGCATCTTATGTTTCTCTCGACAGCTTCGACAAAATTTGGATGCCCTCCTGAACCAGCTGAAAAGCTTCCCTGCCCGGTTGCGACAGTATGCATCCTATGAGTTTGTTCAGAGGCTTCTGAAAGGTTACATGAAGGTGGGTGACCAGTGTCGCACGGTGATGAGTGTCCATCAGAAATGCACCTGCACAGACACTTCGTTTACTTTCTCCACAGATAAACATGCTGGTGATTGAACTGAAATCTGAAGCACTTAAAGACCGCCATTGGAAACAGCTCATGAAAAGGCTTCATGTTAATTGGGTTGTTTCTGAGCTAACCCTTGGCCAAATCTGGGATGTTGACTTGCAGAAAAATGAAGCTATTGTCAAGGATGTACTGCTTGTGGCACAAGGGGAGATGGCTTTGGAAGAATTTTTGAAGCAGGCAAGTAATAAGACTGAACGGCTGCTTTTATGTTGTGTTCCGGGCTGTTACATGGATCTGAGCTATGTAAAAATGGAGCCTTGTCGTCTGTGGTCCTTTTGGTTCTCATAGTGCTTGGTCCCTTGTGCAACTAGTGGATGCCCACATATTGATAATGTATGTCTTTCTGGTTTGAATTCAGATACGAGAAGTGTGGAATACTTATGAACTAGACTTGGTTAACTATCAGAACAAGTGCCGCTTGATCCGCGGCTGGGATGACCTCTTCAACAAGGTCAAAGAGCACATCAACAGCGTCTCGGCCATGAAGCTCTCTCCGTATTACAAGGTGCTGTCGCTGGGGAAGGAAGCTTGCCCTCCCCACCAGTGGTCTCCCACACTTTCACTGTAATACCTTTTCACTGACAGTTACTAGGTACCTGTTTTTTATTTTATTTTTTGAGACAGGGTCTCACTCTGTCTTCCACGCTGGGGTGCAGTGGTACGATCACAGCTCACTGCTGCAGCCTTGACTTCCTGGGCTCAAGTGATCCTCCCACCTCAGCCTCTAGGTAGTTGGGACCACAGGCACATGCCACCATACTGGGCTAACTTTTTGTTTTTTGTAGAGACAGCATCTCACTATATTGCCCAGGCTGGTATTGAACTCATGGCCTTAAGCAGTCCTCCTGCATCGGCCTCCTGAAGTGCCAGGATTACAGGCGTGAGTCACCACAGCCAGCCAATACTTGTTTTTTTGTTTGCTTGGTTTTTTTTTTTTGAGGTGGAGTCTCGCTCTCACCCAGGCTGGAGTGCAATGGCACCATCTCGGCTCACTGCAACCTCCGCCCCTGGGTTGAAGTGATTCTCCTGCCTCAGCCTCCCAAGTAGCTGGGATTACAGCTACGCGCCGCCATACCTGGCTAATTTTTGTATTTTAGGTCGAGACAGAGTTTCACCATGTTGGCCAGGCTAGTCTCAAACTCCTGACCTCAAGTGATCCACCCACCTCGGCCTCCCAAAATGCTGGGATTACAGGTGTGAGCCACCTGCACCCATCTACTTGTTTTTTACAATGTGAATGAGATTACTTCATGAGATCCTGATCTGCATTTTTCAGTGAGTTTTGGCATGTCTGTGAGTAAAAGGGTTAGCAGTTTACCTCTGCCCTCTTGTCTGTCCACCAGGTTTTTGAAGAGGATGCACTCAGCTGGGAAGATAAGCTGAACAGGATCATGGCTCTCTTTGATGTGTGGATTGATGTGCAGAGGCGGTGGGTCTACCTGGAGGGTATCTTCACAGGCAGTGCAGATATCAAGCACCTGCTGCCAGTGGAAACCCAGCGGTTTCAGAGGTATGGCCTCCAGCCCGAGAGCCAGATTTGCCAGCAGCTGGTAACTACTCTGTGCAAAGGCTGACGCATGTTTTAATTTCATTTGTAGCATCAGCACTGAGTTTTTGGCTCTAATGAAAAAAGTGTCCAAGTCTCCCCTTGTTATGGATGTTCTGAATATCCAGGGAGTACAGAGGTCTCTGGAAAGATTGGCAGACCTGCTAGGAAAGATCCAGAAAGCATTGGGAGAATATCTGGAAAGAGAGCGGTCATCTTTCCCCAGGTAAGATCCTTGCTTTGACTTGGCCTGGAGTCAAGCTGAATTTCAGTTGTGCATTTTTCCAGCTATCTCCTTTCCCTTCTGGGCCTCTGTTTGTTAGTTTTGACGTCAAGGATTTTGTTAGCCGATAATACATATAATGATTACCATTCCCTTCCCTGTCATGCAGTGATTACTAATTGTACCTACCTTGGATTTTTTAAATTGTCCTACCTTGGATTTCCTAAGTCTTTAATTTAACTATCATCTACCCTCCAAGGCAGCTTGCATGGCATCTCTTCAGTGTTTATCGCTGGCAGCTTTCTTTTTTTTTTTTTTTTTT